TCGTGGTCGTTGTTGTGGGTCGTGGTCTAGTCCTGGTCTTGGACTTGGTCTTGGTCTCGGTCCTGGTCCTGGTCTCGGTCTCACCGGTGGATGCAGAGGCGGCTCACGTCGGTCTTGTAGTACTGGTTGACGGCCTGTAGGGGGTCTGTGGTCTGGTCGTGGTCGTTGTTGTGGGTCGTGGTCTAGTCCTGGTCTTGGACTTGGTCTTGGTCTCGGTCCTGGTCCTGGTCTCGGTCTCACCGGTGGAAGCAGAGGCGGCTCACGTCGGTCTTGTAGTACTCGTGGACGGCCTGTAGGGGGTCTGTCCTCAGGGGGCTGTGTGCGCTGAGCTGCAGGTTCCAGCAGGAGGCGCTCCAGGGTCGCTCCTGCTCCCTGATGCACTGCAGCACCTGTCGGTCGTGAGGGGAGCAGATCTGTGGACCGGCGCTCCAGTACACCTGCCAAACACAAGAGTCAGACGCCCTCCCGTCAGGAGAGGTCAGGGGTCAGAGGTGTCAGGGGGGTCAGGGGGGTTAGAGGTCAGGGGTCGGGGGGGTCAGGAGGGGGTCGGGAGGGTCAGAGGTCAGAGGTCAGGACCTTGTATCCGTTGTCTTCTTTGGGATTGTGTGACGCTGTGATCATGACTCCAGCTGCAGCTCCCAACTTCACCACAGCAAACGGCTGAAACACAAACCAGAACTCAACCAGAACTCAACCAGGACTCAACCAGGACTCAACCAGTACTCAACCAGGACTCAACCAGGACTCAACCAGGACTCAAACAGGACTCAACCAGGACTAACCCAGGACTCAAACAGAACTCAACCAGAACTAAACCTCCTTGAGGTCCTTGAGGTCCTCGTTGTCCTTCAGTTCACTGAGAGGTTCATGAGTTTGTGAGTTTTCTGTGTTGAAGTGAATAAAAGTGTTTTATTTGGTGTAAACGTGTCATGTTTTTCTTCTCGACAAACTGAAGCTCAGAGGAACAACGACTGAGACCTGCAGTAAAAGTACTACAGTAGAAGTACTGCAGTAAAAGTACTACAGTAGAAGTACTGCAGTAAAAGTACTACAGTAGAAGTACTGCAGTAAAAGTACTACAGTAGAAGTACTGCAGTAAAAGTACTACAGTAGAAGTACTGCAGTAAAAGTACTACAGTAAAAGTACTACAGTAGAAGTATTTGTGACTCACCACGTAGGGTGTGGGGACGTAGGAGGAGAACAGATGCACTGGAACATCTCGACTCAAGAACACAGCAGCCGCCAAACGAGCCAACCTGAAAGAGCCACAAGAGCCACATGCCGCCCTCTGTCACAAAAAGCCACAAGAGCCACACTCCATCACAATGAGCCACACACCCTCCATCTCAAAGAGCCACAAGAGCCACACACCACTCTCCGTCACAAAGAGCCACAAGAGCCACACACCCTCCGTCACAAAGAGCCAAAAGAGCCACACACCCTCCGTCACAAAGAGCCACAAGAGCCACACACCCTCCGTCACAAAGAGCCACAAGAGCCACACACCCTCCGTCACAAAGAGCCACAAGACACACACCCTCCGTCACAAAGAGCCACACGCCCTCTCAGCCACACTCCCCTCCTGTGTGTGTCAGGTGTCGTGTGTGTGTCAGGTGTCGTGTGTGTGTCAGGTGTCATGTGTGTGTCAGGTGTCACGTGTGTCAGTCAGTGTGTGTGTCAGGTGTCAGGTGTGTGTGTGTGTCAGTGGTGGTCAGGTGTGTGTTGGTGTCGTGTGTGTGTCAGATGTTGGTGTGTGTCAGGTGTGTGGTGTGTGTGTGTGTGTGTGTGTGTGTGTCAGGTGTCGTTGTGTGTCAGTGTCGTGTGTGTCAGGTGTGCGTGTGTGGTGTCAGGTGTCTGTGTGTGTCAGTGTGTGTGTCAGTGTCGTGTGTGTCGTGGTGTGTCAGTGTGTGTGTGTCAGGTGTCGTGTGTGTCAGTGTCGTGTGTGTGTCATGGTGTGTGTCAGGTGTCAGGTGTGGTGTGTCAGTGTCGTGGGTGTGTCAGGTGTCGTGGTGTGGTCAGTGTGTGTGGTGTGTGTGTCAGTGTGTCGTGTGTGTGTTGTCAGGTGTCGTGTGTGTGGTGTCATTCGTGTGTGTCAGGTGCTGTGTGTGTCAGATGTCGTGTGTGTCAGGTGCTGTGTGTGTCAGGTGTCATGTGTGTGTCAGGTGTCGTGTGTGTGTGTCAGATGTCGTGTGTGTCAGGTGCTGTGTGTGTCAGGTGCTGTGTGTGTCAGATGCTGTGTGTGTCAGATGTCGTGTGTGTCAGGTGTGGTGCGTGTGTGTCAGGTGTCGTGTGTGTCAGGTGTGTGTGTTCAGGTTCGTGTGTGTGTGTGTCAGGTGTCAGTGTGTGTGTGTGTGTCAGGTGCTGTGTGTCAGGTGTCAGTGTGCTGTGTGTGTCAGGTGTGTGTGTGTGTCAGGTGTCGTGTGTGTTTTAGTGTCGTGTGTGTCAGGGTGTGTGTGTCAGGTGTCGTGTGTGTCATGTGGTGTGTGTGTGTGTCAAGGTGCGTGTGTGTCAGGTGTGTGGTGTGTCGTGTGTGTGTCAGGTGCTGTGTGTGTCAGTCAGGTGTCGTGTGTGTCAGTGTGTCGTGTGTGTCAGGTGTCGTCAGGTGTCGTGTGTGTGTCAGTGTGTCGTGTGTGTGTCAGTGTGTCAGGTGTGTGTGTGTCAGTGTCGTGTGTGTCAGGTGTGTGTGTGCGTCAGGTGTCGTGTGTTGTGTGTCAGGTGTCGTGTGTGTGTCGTGTGTGTGTGTGTGTCAGGTGTGTCGTGTGTGGTGTGTGGTGTGTCAGTGTGTGTGTGTCAGTGTGTCGTGTGTGTGTCAGGTGTCGTGTGTGTGTCAGGTGGTGTGTGTCGTCGTGTGTGTCAGGTGTCGTGTGTGTGTCGTGTGTGTCTGTGTGTGTCGTGTGTGTGTCGTGTGTGTGTGTCAGTGTGTGTGTGTGTCGTGTGGTGTGTCAGTGTGTCAGGTGTGTGTGTGTGTCAGGTGTGTCAGGTGTGTGTGTGTCAGGTGTGTGGTCAAGGTGTGTGTGTGTCAGGTGTGTGTCAGGTGTCGTGTGTGTGTGTCAGTGTGTGTGTGTGTGTGTCAGGTCATGTCGTGTGTGTCAGTGTGTCAGGTGTCGTGTGTGTCAGGTGTCTGTGTGTGTCAGGTGTCGTGTGTGTGTCATGTGTGTCAGGTGTGTGTGTGTCAGTGTGTCGTGTGTGTCGTGTGTGTCATGTGTGTGTCAGTGGTGTGTCAGTGTGTCAGTGTGTCGTGTGTGTGGTGTCACGTGTGTGTGTCAGGTGTGTGTCAGTGTGTCAGGTGTGTGTGTGTCAGTGTGTCAGGTGTGTGTGTGTCATCGTGTGTGTCAGGTGTGTTGTTGTGTCGTGTGTGTCAGGTGCGTGTGTGTCAGGTGTGTGTGTGTCAGGTGTGTCGTGTGTGTCAGGTGTCTGTGTGGTGTCAGGTGTCGTGTGTGTCGTGTCGTGTGTCAGTGTGTGTGTTGTGTGTGTGTGTCAGGTGTGTGTGTGTGTCAGTGTGTCAGTGTGTCGTGTGGTGGTGTCGTGTGTGTGTCAGGTGTGTGTGTGTGTCAGGTGCTGTGTGTGTCGTGTCATCTGTGTGTGTCGTGTGTGTCAGGTGTCGTGTGTGTCAGTGTCGTGTGTGTCATCGTGTGTGTCAAGGGTGTGTGTGTCAGTCGGTGTGTCAGTGTGTGTGTGTGTGTGTCAGTGTCGTGTGTCTGTGTGTGTCAGGGTCGTGTGTGTCAGGTGTCGTGTGTGTGTCAGTGTCGTGTGTGTCAGGTGTGTCTGTGTGTGTCATGTGTGTGTGTTTGTGTGTGTCAGGTGTCGCGTGTGTGTGTCAGTGTCCGTGTGTGTGTGTCGTGTGTGTGTCAGGTGTCGTGTGTGTCAGTGTGTCGTGTGTGTCAGGTGTCGTGTGTGTCAGGTGTGTGTCAGGTGCTGTGTGTGTGTGTGCTGTGTGTCAGGTGCTGTGTGTGTCAGTGTGTCGTGTGTGTGTCAGTGTCGTGTGTGTCAGGTGTGTGTGTGTCAGGTGCTGTGTGTGTCAGTGTGTGTCTGTGTGTGTGTCAGGTGTGTGTCAGTGTGTCAGGTGTCCGTGTGTGTGTCAGGTGTCGGTGTGTGTGTCAGGTGTCGTGTGTGTCAGTGTGTCGTGTGTGTGTCGTGTGTGTGTCAGTGTCGTGTGTGTGTCAGTGTGTGTCAGTGTGTCAGGTGTGTGTCAGGTGTGTCGTGTGTGTCAGTGTGTGTGTGTTGTGTGTGTCAGGTGTCAGTGTGTGTGTGTCAGGTGTCGTGTGTGTCAGGTGTCAGATGTGTGTGTCAGGTGTCGTGTGTGTCAGGTGTCGTGTGTGTCAGGTGTCGTGTGTGTCAGTGTCGTGTGTGTCAGTGTGTCTGTGTGTGTCAGGTGTCGTGTGTGTCAGGTCACTGTGTGTGTCAGGTGTCGTGTGTGTCGTGTGTGTCAGGTGTCGTGTCGTGTCACTGTGTGTGTGTGTGTCAGGTGTCTGTGTGTGTCAGGTGTGTGTGTGTCGTGTGTGTCAGGTGTCGTGTGTGTCAGGTGTCTGTGTGTGTCAGTGTGTGTGGTGTGTGTGTGTCAGGTACTGTGTGTGTCAGGTGTCGTGTGTGTCATGTGTCATGTCGTGTGTGTCAGGTGTCTGTTGTGTGTCAGGTGCTGTGTGTGTCAGGTACTGTGTGTGTCAGGTGTCGTGTGTGTCAGGTGTCGTGTGTGTCAGGTACTGTGTGTGTGTCAGGTGTGTGTGTGTGTGTCAGGTGTCGTGTGTGTGTGTCAGTGTGTCGTGTGTGTGTCAGGTGTGTGTGTGTCAGGTGTCGTGTGTGTCAGGTGTGTGTGTGTCAGTGTGTCGTTGTCGTGTGTCATGTGTCATGTGTCAGGTGTCGTGTGTGTCAGTGTGTGTCGTGTGTGTCATGTGTGTCGTGTGTGTCAGGTGCTTGTGTCAGGTACGTGTGTGTCAGTGTCGTGTGGTACGGTGTGTGTGTGTCAGTGTGTCGTGTGTGTCAGGTGTCGTGTGTGTCAGGTACGTGTGTGTCAGGTGTCGTGTGTGTCAGTGCAGGTGTCTGTGTGTGTGTGTGTGTCAGTGTGTGTCGTGTGTGTCAGTGTGTGCTGTGTGTGTCAGGTGTGTGTGTGTCGTGTGTGTCAGTGTCGTGTGTGTCTGTGTCAGGTGTTGTTGTGTGTGGTGTCGTGTGTGTCTGTGTGTCTGTGTGTCTGTGTGTGTCAGTCTGTGTTGTGTCGTGTGTGTCAGGTGCTGTGTGTGTCAGGTGCTGTGTGTGTCAGGTGGTGTGTTGTGTGTCAGGTGTCGTGTGTGTGTGTCAGGTGCTGTGTGTGTCAGGTGCCTGTGGCTGGAGCAGTCGGTCTCTCTCTGTTCTCTGGTGTCGTAGCCGATGACCACGCCCCTCTGCTGCAGATCAAGGACGCACCTGGACAGGTGCATGTACAGGCCCTGCACACAGACGTGACAGGTGCTGTGGTGACAGGTGCTGTGGTGACAGGTGCTGTGGTGACAGGTGCGGCTCCTGCACTCACCTGCGAGCTCTGAATCACCGTCAGGTCGTTGATCCGGTTGAACCCGGCTCCCATCGGCGCCCGGAGACCCGCCGTCCCAAAACTGAGTCTAGAACCGAGTCTGGACCGAAGCTCCGAGACCTGGTCCTGGTCCAACAGGGTCTGGATCTGAGCCCGAGTGAGAGGGTTCTGTCGAGACCAGAGAGAGAACTCAACCAGGACTAAACCGGGACTAAACCAGGACTAAACCGGGACTAAACCAGGACTAAACCAGGACTAAACCGGGACTGAATAAAAAACTATAAACATTAATGATCTGAAACTGAAACATCTGGATAAAATTGATGTTTTATTTCTATTATTAACGCAGGTGTGACTCATGTCGGACTCGGGTCGGACTCGGGGTCAGACGGGTGTGACTCAAATCGGACTCGGGTCGAACTCGGGTCGGACTCGGGTGTGACTCGGGTCGAACTCGGGTCTCTGGGGGTAAAATGTTTCATGTTATTTAAAGCCGCGCGTGCGCTGTGGGAACGTGGGATGTGACATTTCCGCGGGGTCACGAGCGCGAGTCCAGATGAAGAAGAAGAGAAAAGAGAAAAGAGTTAAATCTTCACAAACTCAGAGTCTGTGAAGGATTTAAGTTTAACACCGACGAAGTGTTGTATTTTCACATTTAAACTAAAACAACAAATAAATAAATAAACCCGAGTCCAAACTAAACCCCCCCGAGTCACATTAGACCTGCAGTGTTTGTGACTCCTGCGCTCTGAATCCGCCCTGGTCTTTATACAAACAGAGTCGTGTCCTTTAATGGAGCTCGCGTGTCTTTTTCACACGGACACGGTTCTGTTTTGCACATTTATTAAAGTTACGTGTGAAAATCCCGTAAAGTGTGAACGCCGAACTGACGCGGGTCAAACGCGCTTTCGGACATGTCTCAGTGCTCTGGACATTTGTCCCCGCGGTGTCCGAGTCACGCACTTTCATGTAGAATATTGTGTCTCCCGGAGGCGGTCCGGCTCGGTCCGAACACCGGTGTGACTCACTCTGTCCCAGCGCAGCCAAAGCTCCACGGCCCGGTCCAGCTGCGGGTCCCCGGTCCCGCGGAGGCTCCGGGGGCTCGGGGGGGTCGGGGGGGTCCGGAGCTCGGGCCCGGGCTGTGGGAGTCCGTTTGTCCCGCTGTGGTCCTCCATGTTGCGGGGAGCGGTGTTAGCGGGTCGCCCTGGTCCGGACGGTTCTGCGGCGGGAGGACATGACCCGCTGCGCCGGTTCCGAGCCTCTGTCCCCGGTGTGGGTCCGGGGCTCGGTGTGGGTCCGGGGTCGGTGTGGGTCCGGGGCTCGTGCGCTCCGGGGTTCGGTTACGTAACAGCGGCGCGAGACAAACATTAAAAGTTTAAAGAACCAAAATTATAAGCGCCGCTTCCGGTCCTTTCACAATAAAAGCCCAATAACAGCCTGTGCACTTCCGGTGTCTCGTGAAATTATTTATTTTTTAAATTAAATGTATTTATTTATTTTTTATGTTTAATTTATTTATTTGTTTATTTATTTGGTGTCTCGTGGATCTGATCTGAGCTCCAGAGTGTTTTTGTTCAGTTAAAACTTCGACGTGTTTGTGTTGAATTTGTGACAAAAAAACGACGTTAGAAAATTTAATCTGAACCAGAACTAAACCAGGACTAAACCAGGACTAAACTAGGACTAAACCAGGTCTAAACCAGGACTAAACCAGGACTAAACCAGAACTAAACCAGGACTAAACCAGGTCTAAACCAGGACTAAACCAGAACTAAACCAGGACTAAACCAGAACTAAACCAGGACTAAACCAGAACTAAACCAGGACTAAACCAGGACTAAACCAGAACTAAACTAGGACTAAACCAGGTCTAAACCAGGACTAAACCAGGACTAAACCAGAACTAAACCAGAACTAAACCAGGACTAAACCAGAACTAAACCAGGACTAAACCAGGACTAAACCAGGACTAAACCAGAACTAAACCAGATCTAAACCAGAACTAAACCAGGTCTAAACCAGGACTAAACCAGAATTAAACCAGGTTTAAACCAGGACTAAACCAGGTCTAAACCAGGACTAAACAAGAACTAAACCAGGTCTAAACCAGGCCTAAACCAGGACTAGACCAGGTCTAAACCAGGAACTAAAAGGACTAAACCAGAACTAAACCAGGGAACCACTAAACAGGACTAAACCAGGACTAAACCAGGACTAAACCAGGACTAAACAAGAACTAAACCACAGGTCTAAACCTGGACTAAACCAGGACTCTAAACCAGGTCTAAACAGGACTAAACCGGGTCTAAACCAGGACTAAACCAGGACTAAAACCAGGACAAACCAGGTCTAAACCAGGACTAAACCAGGACTAAACCAGGTCTAAACCAGGACTAAACCAGGACTAAACCAGGTCTAAAACCAGGACTAAACCAGGTCTAAACCAGGACTAAACCAGGACTAAACCAGGACTAACCAGGACTAAACCGGGTCTAAACGGGTTCTAAACCGACTAAACCAGGTCTAAACCAGGTCTAAACCAGGACTAAACCAGGACTAAACCAGGTCTGGACTAAACCAGGACTAAACCAGGACTAACCAGGACTAAACCAGGTCTAAACCAGGTCTAAACCAGGACTAAACCAGGTCTAAACCAGGACTAAACCAGGACTAAACCAGGTCTAAACCAGGACTAAACCCTAACCAGGACTAAACCAGAACCAGGCTGACCAGGTCTAAACCGACTAAACCAGGACTAAACCAGGACTAGACCAGGACTAGACCAGGTCTAAACCAGTGAAGGACGGGGACAGAGTTCAGTGAAGTCGTTTTATTTGTGTCACATTTTTATGTTTAGAACAAAATAAAAAAAATCCACTGCACAAAAATCTAAAGAAAAACAATAAGTTTTTTTTTTCTTTAAACATTTTTATGTTTGATGTAACAACGGGTTTAACTCTGAAGTTTAACTCTGAAGTTTAACTCTGAAGTTTAACTCTGAAGTTTAACTCTGAAGATTAACTCTGAAGTTTAACTCTGAAGTTTAACTCTGAAGTTTAACTCTGAAGTTTAACTCTGAAGTTTAACTCTGAAGTTTAACTCTGAGTGAGACTGACAGTGTGACCAGCAGGGGGCGCTTCAGTCCCGGGAGCTCTCCTCTGCACAGATCTGACTGGGGTCTCGGTCCTGCTCGTTGCCATGGAGACAGTTTAAAGCTGCACTGTGAAACATTCCATTCAGCAAAGCAATTACGTCGCCATGGAGACAACAAACCCTCCACTGGAAAAGTTACACAGTGCACCTTCAAATATGAGCCACGTCTAAACCGGGTCTAAACCGGGTCTAAACCAGGTCCTGATCAGATGTTGGATGTGATTAGGGCAGGTCTGAGGGTCTGAGGGTCTGAGGGTCTGAGGGTCTGAGGGTCTGAGGTCTGAGGGTCTGAGGGTCTGAGGGTCGGCGGGTCTGAGGGTCTGAGGGTCTGAGGGTCTGAGGGTCTGAGGGTCTGAGGGTCTGAGGGTCTGAGGGTCTGAGGGTCTGAGGGTCTGAGGGTCTGAGGTTCCGGGCAGGTCCACATGTTCATTTGGTCTTCTTGTCGGAGGTCAGGGAGTCGTGGAGTTTGGACACACACTTCTCAAACTGGTCCATCACCAAAGTCCCGTTTTCATCAAAGAACTCGGACACGGAACGAGTGACCTCAGCGTCTCTGCACACGCCGCTCCGCCCGTCTGTGAAGGACACGCGCAGGGAGTACAGGTCATCAAACCTACGAGAAGAACCAGAACCATCATGAGAACATCAGGGAGTCCTTGAGTCTTGGAGAGATCGACTCAAAACGGATTAAAGGACGAAGCTCAGAAGAACAGAGGTGACGTGATGTTCTTTCACACTCAACCGTCTGAGATCTTCTGAACACTGAACCTAGAGGAGCTCCAGGAGAACATCTGAACATCAGACGAGGACCGATGTTCTACCTGAAGGACCAGTTACAGAAAAACAAAGCTTGAGGGGAAAGTGTCTCCTCAGATGTTCCAGGAGATGTTTTGACCAGAACCTGGACAGACAAAGCGACAGGAGAAGAGGCGACAGGGACCGGCAGGTGCAGTACCGTTTGAGGGAGGACGACAGGTGCCAGACGTGGTCCGGGTCCAGACCGGCCGGGTCCTTCTGCAGAGCCACCAGGAAGATGTTCCTCTCCTTGTACGACGTGTAGAGAGTCAGAACCCCCATCATGATGAAGTATGTGAGACCGAGTCAAGGACTGGAACTGAACCAGGACTAGAACAGGACTAAACTGTAAACCAGGTCAGAGTCGGTCTAAACTCAGTCTAGAACAGGTCTAGTCTCAGTCTAAAGTCTTGGTCTGGTCCGGGTCTTGGTCTTGGTTCTAGAGGATATGAGATGACGCAGGCGGCGAGCACAGGTCTGGACTCGGGGAACGGGTGCAGATAATCCCAGAGCAGAGCCACGACGGCGAAAACACACGACACGGTGCAGATGAGCAGACGCCCGTCCACCAGAGAGTAGTTCTCCTGATACCCGAACTTCTCCAGAAGAACCTGCACCGAAGAACATGAAGAACACATGAAGAACATGGAGAACACATGGAGAACACATGAAGAACACATGAGGAACACATGAGGAACACATGAGGAACACATGAAGACCACATGAGAGACACATGAACACATGAGACCACATGAGGACCACATGAGGAACACATGAGGAACACATGAAGACCACATGAAGACCACATGAGGACCACATGAGGAACACATGAGGAACACATGAAGACCACATGAGGACCACATGAGGAACACATGAGGAACACATGAAGGAACAATGAAGACCACATGAGGAACACATGAGACACATGAGACACATGAGAACACATGAACACCACATGAAGGACCACATGAGGACCACATAGGACCAAGGAGACATGAAGACCACATGAAGACCACATGAAGACCACATGAGGACCACATGAAGACCACATGAAGACCACATGAAGACCACATGAAGACCACATGAGGACCACATGAGGACCACATGAGGACACATGAGGACACATGAGGACCACATGAGGACCACATGAAGACCACATGAAGACCACATGAAGACCACATGAGGACCACATGAGGACCACATGAGGACCACATGAGGACCACATGAGGAACACATGAGGACCACATGAAGACCACATGAAGACCACATGAAGACCACATGAAGACCACATGAGGAACACATGAGGACCACATGAGGACCACATGAAGACCACATGAGGAACACATAAGGAACACATGAGGAACACATGAGGAACACATGAAGACACATGAAGACCACATGAGGAACACATGAGGAACACATGAGGAACACATGAGGAACACATGAAGACCACATGAAGACCACATGAGAGACCACATGAGGACCACATGAGGACCACATGAGGAACACATGAAGACCACATGAAGACACATGAAGACCACATGAAGACCACATGAAGACCACATGAGGAACACATGAGGAACACATGAGGAACACATGAAGACCACATGAAGACCACATGAGGACCACATGAGGACCACATGAAGACCACATGAGGAACACATAAGGAACACATGAGGAACACATGAGGAACACATGAGACCACATGAGGACCACATGAGGAACACATGAGGAACACATGAGGAACACATGAAGACCACATGAAGACCACATGAGGACCACATGAGGACCACATGAGGACCACATGAGGACCACATGAGGAACACATGAAGACCACATGAGGAACACATGAGGACCACATGAGGACCACATGAGAAGACCACATGAGAACACATGAGGACACAATGAGGACCACATGAGGACCACATGAGGACCACATGAGGACCACATGAGGAACACATGAGGAACACATGAAGACCACATGAAGACCACATGAAGACCACATGAGGAACACATGAAGACCACATGAGAAACACATGAGGAACACATGAGGAACACATGAGGAACACATGAGGAACACATGAGGAACACATGAGGACCACATGAGGAACACATGAGGAACACATGAGGAACACATGAGGACACATGAGGACACATGAGAACACATGAGGAACACATGAGGAACACATGAAGACCACATGAAGGACCACATGAGGGCACATGAGGAGCACATGAAGAACCACATGAAGGACACATGACATGAGGAACACATGAGGAACACATGAGGAACACATGAAGACCAACCACATGAGGAACACATGAAGACCACATGAGGAACAAGAGACCACATGAGGACACATGAAGACCACATGACCACATGAAACACATGAGGACCACATGAGGACCACATGAGGAACACATGGAAACACATGAGACACATGAGGACACATGAAGACACACATGAAGAACACATGAACACATGAGGAACACATGAGGGAACACATGAACACATGAACACATGAGGAACACATGAGGAACACATGAAGACCACATGAGGAAACACACATGAAGACACATGAGGAGCACATGAAGAAACACATGAAGACCACATGAAGAACACATGACACATGAGGAACACATGAGGAACACAGAAACACATGAGACACATGAACACATGAGACCACATGAGGAACACATGAAGACCACATGAGAACACATGAGGAACACATGAGGAACACATGAGGAAACACATGAGGAACATGAGGAACCACATGAAGACCACATGAGGAACACATGAGGACACATGAGGAACACATGAGGAACACATGAGGAACACATGAGGAAAACACATGAGACATGACCACATGAGAACACATGAGGAACACATGAGGGAACACATGAGGAACACATGAAGAACACATGAAGACACATGAAAAACACATGAGGAACACATGAGAACACATGAGGACACACATGAAGACCACATGAGGAACACATGAAGACCACATGAAGACAAGAACACATGAGGACCACATGAGGACCACATGAGGAAACACATGAGGACACATGAGGACCATGAGGAACATGAGGAACACATGAGGACCACATGAGGACCACATGAGGACACATGAGGAACACATGAGGACATGAACACATGAAGACCACATGAAGACCACATGAGACACATGAGGAACACATGGAAACACATGAGAACACATGAGGAACAATGAGGAACACATGAGGAACACATGAGACCACATGAGGAACACATGAGGAACACATGAGGACCACATGAGGAACACATGAGGAACACATGAGGAACACATGAGGAACACATGAGGAACACATGAAGACCACATGAAGACCACATGAGGAGCACATGAGGAGCACATGAAGAACACATGAACACATGAGAACCACATGAGGAACACATGAGAACCAAGAACACATGAGGAACACATGAAGACCACATGAGGAACACATGAAGACCACATGAGGAAACACATGAAGACCACATGAGGAACACATGAGGACCACATGAGGAAACACATGAGGACATGAACACATGAGGACACATGAAGACCACATGAGAACACATGAACACATGAAGGAACACATGAGGAAACATGAGGAAACACATGAGAACACATGAAGACCACATGAGGAACACATGAGGACACATGAGGAACCACATGAAGAACACATGAAGACACATGAGGAACACATGACACATGAGGAACACATGAGAACACATGAGACACATGAGGAACACATGAAGACCACATGAGGAACACACATGAAGACCACATGAGAACACATGAGGAACACATGAGAGACCACATGAAACACATGAGGAACACATGAGGAACACTGAAACACATGAGGAAACACATGAGGAACACATGAGGAACACATGAAGACCACATGAAGAACACATGAGAACACATGAGGAACACATGAACACATGAGAACACATGAAGGACACAATGGAACACATGAGGACACATGAGGAACACATGAGGAACACATGAGCACATGAACCACATGAAGAACACAATGAGGACACATGAGGACACATGACACATGAAGACCACATGAAGAAACATGAGGAACACATGAGAACACATGAGGAACACAGAAACACATGAGAAACACATGAGGACACATGAGGAAACACATGAGGAACACATGAAGACCACATGACCACATGAGAACACATGAGGAACACATGAGGAACACATGAGGAACACATGATGAAGACCACATGAAGAACACATGAAGACCACATGAAGAACACATGAACACAAGAAACCACATGAGGAACACATGAGGAACACATGAAGACACACATGAGAACACATGAGACACATGATGAGAACACATGAGGAACACATGAGGAACACACATGAGGAACACATGAGGAACCACATGAGGAACACATGAGAACACATGAGGAACACATGAGAGACCACATGAGACCACATGAGAACACATGAGGAACACATGAGGACACACATGAGGAACACATGAGGACCACATGAGACCACATGAGAACACATGAGGACACACACATGAGGAACACATGAGGAACACATGAGGAACACATGAGGAACACATGAGGACACATGAGGAACACATGAGGAACACCACATGAGGAACACATGAGGAACACATGAGGAACACATGAGGAACACATGAGGAACACATGAACACATGAAGACACATGAGGAACACATGGAAGACCACATGACAGAACACATGAAGAACACATGAGGAACACATGAAACCACATGAGGACACATGAAGACACATGAAGAACACATGAGGAACACATGAGGAACACATGAGGAACACATGAAGACCACATGAGGAACACATGAAGACCACATGAGGAACACATGAAGACCACATGAGGAACACATGAAGAACACATGAGGAACACATGAGAACACATGAGGAACACATGAGGAACACATGAGGAACACATGAAGACACATGAAACACATGAGGAACACATGAGGAACACATGAGGAACACATGAGGAACACATGAGGAACACATGAAGAACACATGAACACATGAGGAACACATGAGGAACACATGAGGAACACATGAAGAACACATGAACACATGAAGAACACATGAAGAACACATGAAGAACACACATGAAGAACACATGAAGAACACACATGAAGAACACATGAAGAACACAATGAGGAACACATGAGGAACACATGAAGACACATGAGGAACACATGAAACACATGAGGAACACATGAGACCACATGAGGAACACATGAAGACCACATGAGGAACACATGAAGAACACACATGAAGAACACATGAAGAACACACATGAAGAACACACATGAAGAACACATGAAGAACACACATGAAGAACACACATGAACACATGAGGAACACATGAGGACCACATGAGGAACACATGAGGAACACATGAGGAACACATGAAGACCACATGAGGAACACATGAAGACCACATGAGGAACACATGAAGACCACATGAGGAACACATGAAGACCACATGAGGAACATGAAGACCACATGAGGACCACATGAGGACCACATGAGGAACACATGAGGAACACATGAGGAACACATGAGGAACACATGAAGACCACATGAGGAACACATGAAGACCACATGAGGAACACATGAGGACCACATGAGGAACACATGAGGAACACATGAGGAACACATGAGGAACACATGAAGACCACATGAAGACCACATGAGGAGCACATGAGGAGCACATGAAGAACACATGAAGACCACATGAAGAACACATGAGGAACACATGAGGAACACATGAGGAACACATGAAGACCACATGAAGAACACATGAGGAACACATGAGGAACACATGAGGAACACATGAAGACCACATGAGGAACACATGAAGACCACATGAGGAACACATGAAGACCACATGAGGAACACATGAAGACCACATGAGGAACACATGAAGACCACATGAGGAACACATGAAGACCACATGAGGAACACATGAGGAACACATGAGGAACACATGAGGAACACATGAGGAACACATGAGGAACACATGAGGAACACATGAGGAACACATGAGGAACACATGAGGAACACATGAGGAACACATGAGGAACACATGAGGAACACATGAAGACCACATGAGGAACACATGAGGAACACATGAGGAACACATGAGAACACATGAGGAACACATGAAGACCACATGAGGAACACATGAAGACCACATGAGGAACACATGAGGACCACATGAGGAACACATGAGGACACATGAGGAACACATGAGGAACACATGAGGAACACATGAGGAACACATGAGGAACACATGAACACACAAACCTTCTTGGCGGCGTCGTCCAAAGAATTCTTCACCGCCGCTCCGTCCCATTTGTCGATTTTCACAGGCTTCTCATCGATCCTCCACTGAACACACACACACACACACACACACACACACACACACACACACACACACACACAACACACAGTTCAGCATGTGCAGTATAAGTTACACATATTTACTCTCACATGAAGTAAAAGTAAAACTCTTTATAATTCACTCAAATACTCTACTCCTGTACTTAGTTACTCGCGTCCTTAGTTACTCGCGTCCTTAGTTACTCGCGTCCTTAGTTACTCGCGTCCTTAGTTACTCTGCGTTTCACTTCGGAAATTAAAAAAGCGCATTTGTTTTGAGGTTTTCAAACTGACACGTGTCAGTGAAACATCCAGAGGAAGAAACGACAAAAACTACACAACAACTACACAACACTACAACGACACAACACTACAACGACACAACACTACAACTACACAACACTACAACGACACAACACTACACAAAACTACAACTACACAACACAAAACTACAACTACACAAAACTACAACTACACAAAACTACAACTACACAACACTACCACACTCTACACAAACTCTACATAAACGCTACACAAACTCTACACAAACGCTACACAAACGCTACACACATCCTGCACAAACATGTCGGGTGTGTTCCGCTCGGTTCTGTTTGTTTCTGTAAATGAGCCACAGGAGCCGCAGGAGCCGCGCACAGTCCGAGCACGAGCGGGTTTAACGCTCATGAACACGCCGTGTGCAAAAGAGACGGTTCTTGACTCTCAGACCCAGACTTCAGACCCAGACCTCAGACCCAGACTTCAGACCCAGACCTCAGACCCAGACCTCAGACCCAGACCTCAGACCCAGACCTCAGACTTCAGACCAGACTTCAGACCCAGACCTCAGACCCAGACCTCAGACCCAGACTTCAGACCCAGACTTCAGACCCAGACTTCAGACCCAGACCTCAGACCCAGACTTCAGACCCAGACTTCAGACCTTCAGACCCAGACCTCAGACCTTCAGACTTCAGACTTCAGACTTCAGACTTCAGACTTCAGACTTCAGACCCAGACCTCAGACCTCAGACCCAGACTTCAGACTTCAGACTTCAGACTTCAGACCCAGACTTCAGACCCAGACTTCAGACCCAGACTTCAGACCCAGACCTCAGACCCAGACCTCAGACCCAGACTTCAGACCCAGACCCAGACCTCAGACCCAGACTTCAGACCCAGACTTCAGACCTCAGACCCAGACTCAGACCCAGACTCAGACCCAGACTTCAGACCCAGACTTCAGACCCAGACTTCAGACCCAGACTTCAGACTTCAGACTCAGATGGTTGTTTTTGATCTTCGCCGCTGGGCACGCGCTTTAGTTTTAGCCATTTTAGCTTTAGCCGCTTTAGCTCCTTTAGCATCACGGACCCGGACTAAAAAACCCAGAGTCCGGGCCGGAGCCGGGACCCCGCGCCCTCACATCAGCCCCGCACCACTCAAAACCACAAACTGTAAAAGGTTTAAAAGGTTTAAAAGGCTTAAAAGGTAAAATAATGTCAAATCAAGTCGTACTTTCTCCAGGAGCCCGCTCTTCCCGTTCCGCGACGCCGCCATCTTCTCTGACCTGGAGCCTTCTGATTGGCTCATAGCCGCACGAGGACCCGGAAATACACCGCCCCGTCTAACGGGACTAAACCAGAACTAAACCAGGACTAAACCAGTATTTTTGACTTTCCTTCACAAAAGTCTTGTTGATTTGTGTGAAATGTAAATGCGTCTCTAGATTAACCCGTCACTTTAGACTCAGAGCGTCACACTGTGTGAAAATATAATGTAAATATTAGTGTGAAAATATTATTTAAATACTAATGTGAAAATATTATTTAAATATTAGTGTGAAAATATTATTTAAATACTAGTGTGAAAATATTATTTAAATACTAGTGTGAAAATATTATTTAAATATTAGTGTGAAAATATTATTTAAATATTAGTGTTTTAGTGTGAAAAGTGCAGTGAGAGTGTTTCTCCAGCAGAGGGCGACACAAACACTCAAAGACAGTTTGTTTATTAAATTAAAGCGTACATGTGTAAATACTTCATTTCCCATGATTCTCTGGAAGACTCTGTGGAATGTCTGTAATCGCTGGTTTCTATTGGCTGCTGCAGGTCATGTGACCATCTCATTTGCATATTTTAGTCTTTAAATTAAAGTGTCACTTCCTGTTGGGCGAGTCGCAGAAGCCGAAGTGCTCGAGTCCTCCCCAACAATACTGCACTACAAGTACAAGTACTACAAGTACTCCGTGCAGTACTGGTACTGCAGTGTTTCCCAAACAGTGGTCCTGGGAGATCTTCAGTTTAGGACTTTGATCAAAGTAAAGTTCAATTAGTTTTTTTCTCCTCTGGATCAAACAGAACCACAGAAACGTTCACTTTTACTACAGTCCTGGTTTAGACCTGGTTTAGACCTGGTCTAGACCTGGTCTAGACCCGAGTCTGACCAGAGCCAAATTATTCTAGTGAAGGTTTGTAGAGTTTATAAACAGAAACCAGGTCTGAACCAGGTCTGAACCAGGTCTGAACCAGGTCTGAACCAGGTCTGAACCAGGTCTGAACCAGGTCCTGAGTGGGATTCTTGAGCACTCACTGTTGGGCGTGTTTCTGGGGGACGGAGCTTCAGTCTTTGTGTCGTTGGAGACGCCGCGAGCTCCTAAGGCCCCGCCCCCTTTCTGAGGCGGCGCTCTGATTGGTCCAGGCGTTCCTCAGGCCCCGCCCCCTTTCTGCGGCGGCGCTCTGATTGGTCGATCGGAGGAAGTACGGGTCTGAAACTCCGTCGAAGTGTCTCTGGAGCTGCAGCGCTAAAGCTCTGTCGGCCCGCTCCTGCGCGCTAACACTAGCACTAGCCTTTACACTGCGTTTCCCATAGGTGTTAGCGTCAGGGCAGTTAGCCGCGGGGTTAGCGTCCGCGCGCAGACGCTTCGACTCGCGACGTTTGGGATTCAGTTTCAGCTTCCTCTTCGAACACGACTTGAACCTGAGCCCTGAAACAGACACACACACGGTTAAACAGAACTAAACCAGGACAGAAACAGGTCTAAACTAGAGCCGGACCGATATATCGGTCGATATGCTTGCTGATATGTGCCGATATTTCCCATGGGCAGGTTATACCTCGTTATAAATCTCAGACTCTCTACGTTCTGTTCATTTAATCCAGTTTACGACAGATAAATGTCCAAATATGTGGCTCTGCATCAGGATTTATCTGTGTGTGTGTGTGTGTGTGTGTGTTATTAGTGCAGACTTGTGATGTGGGAGGAGCCTGTATGTGTGTGTGTGTTTTCTATTGGTGTATTATAAAGTGATTATATCGTCTGTATATTTGTTCCTGGAGCTGCATCGATGTAAATGAGCTGTGAACAGAAGTGTGAATGATCGACATTTACACATGTCATTCATCACCGCGGTGCAGCATTTACGACTAAAGACTAACAGCGCTAGTTTCTTTACTAGTCGTGACGGTCGGTCGTGAACGAAGCGGCTCTTAGATCCGGCTCTTTGAAGTGAACGACGGGAGCCGGCTCCTTATTGGGAGTTTACGTTACATTTACAGTGAATTTTTACATCACTAAATATATCGACAGCTCCAACTCCCATTTTATCGATATCGTATCGACCACAACAAAATCCATATCGGTCGAGCCCTACTTTAAACCAGGACTAAACCAGGATTAAACCAAGTCTAAACCAAGTCTAAACCAGGACTAAACCAGGACTAAACCAGTCCCGTACAGACCTAGACTCTGGTCCTGGGGGAGGACGGGGGGGACTTTGGTGGGGGGGACTCTGAGTGGGACTTGTTCGTGTGCGTGGATCAGTAGTGTGCGTCTGTTTCTGGACGCGGCGTTGGCGTTGTTGTTGTTGGAGTCGTTGACGGGGCTGGTGAGCGTCGCCACGGAGACGGGGCAGCGTCCCTCCATCGCCGCAGAAACCTTCTGTCGGTCCAACTCGATCTGACGCCACTTCTGCATCACCACAGCGCTCGTCTGAGGCCACGCCCCCTGAACACACACACACACATACACACACACATACACACACACACAGAGACACACACACATGCTGTCAATCAAACCCGATGCAGGGGGAGGGGCCTGATTGGTCGGTTACTGTGTGATGTGCAATAACAAAGTGTGCAATATTCCCCTGTGAGCCTGACACACTGTGTGAACAGACACAAGGCTGAACCTGACACACTGTGTGTGTGTGTGTGTGTCACATTCATGTGTGTCGTGTTCATTAACTCTGTCCCAGTCAAACACACACACACACACACACACACACCACCAACTGTGTGTGAGTGTTACAACACACACCTCCACCTGCACACACTCAGAGGTGTCAGGGGTCAGAGGGGTCAGAGGGGTCAGAGGTCAGACCTGTGCGGCGGTCCCGATCTGGCGCAGGTTCCTGGGCGTGGCCTTGATGATGCGTGGGTGGAGCAGGCGTCCGTCGCTCAGGCGTTTGGGGGGAGTACACGGAGAACACACGATGGGTTTAAAATGATTCAACTCCTCTGAGATGCTGTCGTTACTGTCGGGACTCGCCGAGCGCTCCGACCGACCCGGAGACGCCCGAGCGCCGCCCTCCCACTGACCCGGAGGACCCGCCCCCGACGACACCGACGACACCGCCATGGCAGGGACCGCGGCAGGGACCACGGCAGGGACCACGGCAGGGACCACGGCGCTCCAGGCCAAACGGCGCTGAGGAGGAACGATCGGCACCGACACAGAACGACTGTTTTCAGACGAAAGAAGGATCCCTGCAGTCACACTGTGACACGCACATGTCTGACGCACACATGACACACACATACACACACACACAGGACACACATACACATACACACACACACACACACACACGACACACACACACACATACACACATATACACACACACAGGACACACATACACACACACACACACACACACACACACACACACATATACACACACACAGGACACACATACACATACACACACAGGACACACATACACACAAAGAGAGAGAGAGAGAGATGGTTACACGGGAGGGCATCTTACACATACAGGTTTGGGGTACTCATATGGTCGGGGGGTTTGGGGTACTCATATGGTCGGGGGTTTGGGGTACTCACAGGGTCGGGGGGTTTGGGGTACTCATATGGTCGGGGGGTTTGGGTACTCATATGGTCGGGGGGTTTGGGGTACTCACAGGGTCGGGGGTTTGGGGTACTCATATGGTCGGGGGGTTTGGGTACTCACAGGTCGGGGGGTTTGGGGTACTCACAGGGTCGGGGGGTTTGGGGTACTCATATGGTCGGGGGGTTTGGGGTACTCACAGGGTCGGTGAGCGGCGGCTGCAGGAGCACCTTGAGTTTTCCGCGTTCCTCCACAGGCTCCGAACAAGAACGACTCCTCTGACCCCCACTGCACAGACACACACCACGACCTGAGCCGCGACCTGAGCTGCGACCTGAGCCGCGACCTGAGCCGCGACCTGAGCCGCGACCTGAGCCGCGACCTGAGCCGCGAGCCGAGCCACAACCTGAACCAGGACCCAAACCAGGACCCGAGCAGCGACCTGAGACGCAACCCAAACCGGAGCCGCGACCAGAGCCACGACCAGAGCCACAACCTGAACCAGGACCTGAGCCATGACCTGAGCCGTGACCTGAGCCATGACCCGAGCCATGAGCCGAGCCACGACCCACAACCAGAACCACCACTGGTTCAGTCTCGGTCGAGTCCCGTTATAGTCCCGGTCGAGTCCCGTTATAGTCCCGGTCGAGTCCCGTTATAGTCCCGGTCGAGTCCCGTTATAGTCCCGGTCGAATCCCGTTATAGTCCCGGTCGAATCCCGGTTTACCTGGACAGGGCGGTGGAGGTTTTCCTGATAAACGCTGAGATGTTTCTGATTCTTCTGGTGATGGGTTCCTCGTTCTCCGAGTCGGACAGAACGCCCTGGAACAACAACAACCGGAGTCAGACGCCCTGCCAGGTCACTCAGGTCACTCAGGTCACAGGTCAGAGGTCACAGAGTTAATCAGGTGTTACCTTTTGTTCACTCCTCCTGCGCGTCTCCTCCCTCTCCTCCGACCTGAGCCTCAGACCGTCGCACACTTTTAACACCGGACACAAAAACTCTGTAACACAACACAACACACACTTTTAACACCAGACGCACACAACACAGTGAAGTGAAGGTGTGTGGAGTTTAAAAACACAGTGGAACACTTCCTGTATCACAACACGATGACATCACAGGGTGGAACAGAGTGTTTTCAGTTTGAGAAGAAAAACTCTGTGTGTTAAATATGTGAAGGAAAAAAACAACAACAACACCACAACTCCAGGTCTGAGTGTGACTAGGAAACAACACAAAACTAAAAACATTTCAGAAAATAAGTCGTAAAAATAAAAATAATAAAAAGTTCCAGAGTGTTTGGGTTCTTACCGCTGAGAACACAAACAGAAGGTTCCATGTTCTAAACGAGTTAAGTGTCCACAGCAGTTTAACCACGACACACACAAACACACAAGTCCGACCCTGAACCCGCCTCCACCGGGACAAGTCCGGACAAGTCCCGAGAACCACGGGGACAAACCGGGGGACACACCGGGAAGGACCGGGGAAGGACCGGGGAAGGACTGGGGTCACGCCGGGTTTAAGAGTTTTAACTAGTCAACATAGTCTGGGTTCGTGTCCCGCTTTAGTCCTTGTTTACACCTAGATTAGTCCTGGTTTATGCCCAGTTTTGACCTAGTTTGGACCCGGTTTAGCCCTGGTTTAGTCCCGGTTCCGTCAGTTTGTCCGGGGCTCTTATTGCCGCGGGGGCCGTGATCTCTGAACCCGAAAAACTCACCTCCTCCTCCGCGGCCGCTGCTGGCGCGTCTGCCCTCTCTGCTGCCGCTGCCCCCGGGGTCAGTCCTGCGTCGGTGCCGCTGTCCCCCGGACCTGGAGCCGGGCCTGGAGCCGGGCCTGGAGCCGGGCCTGGAGCGGGACTCTCCGGGGCTGGGACCGGGGCGCTGGGGCTCGGTGGCCGCGGGGGGAGTGTCGGAGCCGGGCAGCGGGCCTCGGAGCCGCTCGGACCCCGCCGGATCCATCTTGTTTTTCTTTGGGTTTTCTCAGCAGCGGGAGTTCATGGTGTCGCATCCCGGCCTCGGCGCGGTTCTGTCGGGTTCTTCAGGTGTGTCCGGTCCTTTGGGTCGGGTTAATAAATCCGTCCAGGTGTAAAAAGCGCCGCTCCGGGTCCAGATGCGCTCTGTGTTGAACCCTCCGCCGCCATCTTGGACACACACACTCCAGGCCCCGCCCTTCTGCCCCGGCGCTCCACGCGCTGATTGGACGAGAGCCGCGCGTGCTTCCCGCCTCTGCCAGCGGTTTGAGTTTGAAAATTCAACCACAAAAAAATTGAAAAAATAAATAAAATAAGTAAATAAAAAATAAAACCAACCTTCATAAATCAGACTAGACTCTTCTCTAAGGACTTTAGAGCAGAGTCTGAGTTAAATAATAAAAACATAATCATAAAAATAAACCCACTCTTCACGTGACTCTTCCACACACTGACGTTGAAACGGGCCGGAACTTTTGGAAATCTATGTGATTTATTTTTAAACACAAAAAATAATTTACAACAAACAGGAAGTTGCTTGGTTTTTATGGTGCAACTTTATAATAAAATAAACTCTGGTCAAATAAAAGCGTGTGTGTGTGCTGCTCAGGAGAACACACTGATATTATATAAAAACAGTCTTTTTTATATTATTTGATTTGACGTGTTTTTGTCGTTGTTGTTCTTGTAGGACCTGCGCGGTGTTTTTGTCGTTGTTGTTCTTGTAGGACCTGCAGAGGGCGGTGCGCAAACGCCGCACAAACCAAAACAAACAGAGTAAGAACCAACATGGCGGCACCCGGGACAGTGTGCGTGACCGTGCGTGAAACATCTGCGTGAAACATCTGCGTGAGACATCTGCGTGAAACATCTGCGTGAGACATCTGCGTGAAACATCTGCGTGAAACATCTGCGTGAGACATCTGCGTGAGACATCTGCGTGAAACATCTGCGTGAGAGGCTCGTGCGTGAGAGGCTCGTGCGTGAGAGGCTCGTGCGTGAGAGGCTCGTGCGTGAGAGGCTCGTGCGTGAGAGGCTCGTGCGTGAGAGGCTCGTGCGTGAGGCGTGGGTGCTGCAGGACCCTTGGGTGCTGCCTGGACTCTGGGTCAGAGGCTCAAGGTCTGAGCTCAGGTCCAGACCCGGACTCGAGTCAGACCCGGATAGAAAAGAGACTAAACCCGGACCCGAGTCTCACTGAGGTCAGACTGATCCCACTAACACACTTAGTCCCGGTTTAGACCCGGTTTAGACCCGGTTTAGTCCTGGTTTAGTCCTGATTTAGTCCTGATTTAGTCCTGATTTAGACCTGGTTTAGTCCTGGTTTAGACCTGGTTTAGTCCTGGTTCAGTCCTGGTTCAGTTCTGGTTTAGACCTGGTTTAGTCCTGGTTTAGTCCTGGTTTAGTCCTGGTTTAGGCCTGGTTTAGGCCTGGTTTAGTCCTGGTTCAGTCCTGGTTCAGTCCTGGTTTAGACCTGGTTTAGACCTGGTTCAGTCCTGGTTTAGTCCTGGTTTAGTCCTGGTTTAGACCTGGTTTAGACCTGGTTTAGTCCTGGTTTAGACCTGGTTTAGTCCTGGTTTAGGCCTGGTTTAGTGACTAAACCAGGTCTAAACTGTTCAGCTGTGTCTTATACTGTTTGTGTTCACAGGTCTTGTCCTTAGACCTTGGTCCTGGTCTTTGTCTTGTCCTGGTCCTGGTCCCGGTCCGGTCCCGGTCCTGGTCCAGATGTCTCGTCCGGTTCTGGAGGTGGTCCGTTTGGGTCTGGTCTCGTACTCTGAGGCCATGAGGGTCCAGAAGTTCTACGTAGACCGCTTAAAGTCCCGGCCGGGTTCCGCCTGGACCCTGCTGCTGTGCGAACACCTCCCGGTCTACACGGTCGGGATCCGGACCTCCCCGTACCCGGACCCGGACCTGGACCTGCTCAGGACCAAAGGAGCCGAGGTCCACAAGAGCGACCGAGGAGGCCTCATCACCTTCCACGGACCTGGACAACTGGTCTGCTACCCCGTCCTCCACCTGGGCCGGATCAACAAGGTCTGGACCGGGACCGGACTGGGACTGGACTGGGACTGGACTGGGACTGGACTGGACATCAGAAGAGTTGTAGGGAGTATTATCTGTAAACATAAAGGTGTGTACTTCAGAGTATTCGGTGGTACGTCAGTACTCTGTAGTACAGTTGTAGTAGTTGTAGTACTGTGTGTACTGTGTGTACTTCAGAGTATTCGGTGGTACATCAGTACTCTGTAGTACAGTTGTAGTAGTTGTAGTACTGTGTGTACTGTGTGTACTTCAGAGTATTCGGTGGTACGTCAGTACTCTGGAGTACAGTTGTAGTAGTTGTAGTACTGTGTGTACTGTGTGTACTTCAGAGTATTCGGTGGTACGTCAGTACTCTGTAGTACAGTTGTAGTAGTTGTAGTACTGTGTGTACTTCAGAGTATTCGGTGGTACGTCAGTACTCTGGAGACTTCAGTCGGTGACGTCCTCAGACACTTCGGGCTCAAAGTTCAACCTTCTCCTCACACTGGAGTCTGGACCCGAGACCAGAAGATCTGCTCCATCGGTGAGTTCACCTCCTCCTCTTCATTTACTCCTCCTCATGTTCTCCTCATGTTCTCCTCACTCCTCATGCTCCTCTCTCCTCATGTTCTCCTCATGTTCTCCTCATGTTCTCCTCATGTTCTCCTCATGTTCTCCTCATGTTCTCCTCATGTTCTCCTCATGTTCTCCTCATGTTCTCCTCTTGTTCTCCTCTTGTCCATCAGGGATCCGCTGCAGTCGTCGCGTCACGTCTCACGGTTTGGCGTTGAACTGTGACATGGACTTGTCGTGGTTCTCGCACATCGTCCCCTGTGGGCTGGACAAAGGCGTGACGTCCCTGAGCCGAGAGACGGAGACCGAGGTCCGGGTGGAGGACGCCGTGGACCCTCTGCTCCACAGCTTCTGCCAGAACTTCAACTGTGACCTCCAAGAGACGACGGAGCCTCACCCTCACCTCCTCCACCTCCACGACTGACCACAGGAGACCCACCACCTCCATGAGTGACCTCCAGGAGACCAGGGAACCTCCTTCTCACCTCCACGAACTCCATGACCTCCACGACTGACCACAGGAGACCCACCTGCTCCTCAGCTTCTGCCAGAACATCACCTGTGGCCTCCAGGAGACCACAGAACCTCCTCCACCTCCACGTGTGACCAGGAGAACCAAACAGATCCAGGTCAGAGGAACAAAGGAGAACTGAGAAACCGGAGAGAAGATCTAAACATCTCCTTCACGTTTGACCCTGTGACCTTCTCGTGTCTGTCGGCAACAAACACGAGAGAAAAACATTTAGACTTTGAGAAGTTTCTCCATAAACCTGAGAGTTTCACTTTGGATCAGAACACGATGAAATCAAATATTTTAATTTGAAAAAAAAAATAAAAATGAAAAAATATTTTACTGGTCTGAAAGAGATTTAGTTTTGGTTTAGTCCTGGTTTAGTCCTGGTTTAGTCCTGGTTTAGTTCTGGTTTAGTTCTGGTTTAGTCCTGGTTTAGACCTGGTTTAGTTCTGTTTTAGTTCTGGTTTAGTCCTGGTTTAGTCCTGGTTTAGTTCTGGTTTAGTCCTGGTTTAGTCCTGGTTTAATTCTGGTTTAGTCCTGGTTTAGTCCTGGTTTAGTTCTGGTTTAGTTCTGGTTTAGTCCTGGTTTAATTCTGGTTTAGTCCTGGTTTAGTCCTGGTTTAATTCTGGTTTAATTCTGGTTTAGTCCTGGTTTAGTCCTGGTTTAATTCTGGTTTAGTCCTGGTTTAGTCCTGGTTTAGTCCTGGTTTAGTCCTGGTTTAATTCTGGTTTAGTCCTGGTTTAGTCCTGGTTTAGACCTCGTTTAGACCTGGTTTAGTCCTGGTTTAGTTCTGGTTTAGACCTCGTTTAGACCTGGTTTAGTCCTGGTTTAGTTCTGGTTTAGACCTGGTTTAGTCCTGGTTTAGTCCTGGTTTAATTCTGGTTTAGTCCTGGTTTAATTCTGGTTTAGTCCTGGTTTAGTCCTGGTTTAGACCTCGTTTAGACCTGGTTTAGTCCTGGTTTAGTCCTGGTTTAGACCTCATTTAGACCTGGTTTAGTCCTGGTTTAGTCCTGGTTTAGACCTGGTTTAGACCTGGTTTAGTCCTGGTTTAGTCCTGGTTTAGACCTGGTTTAGACCTGGTTTAGTCCTGGTTTAGTTCTGGTTTAGACCTGGTTTAGTCCTGGTTTAGTTCTGGTTTAGACCTGGTTTAGTCCTGGTTTAGTTCTGGTTTAGACCTGGTTTAGTCTAGGTCTGGTCCTGGTTCAGTTGTTTGTAGGTTGTGGGTCAGATTCTTTAAGAGGATTACACCTGTAGATTTAGATCAGGGGGCGGGGCCTGCAGGTATTAGGGTGGGGCCAGAGGCTTTGATGATCTTTTGAGGAGCTGACAGGAGCAGAGTGACAGGAGCTGACAGGAGCAGACAGGAGCAGAGTGACAGGAGCTGAC